CGTATTATTCAGCGTCATTCTTATACAGCAATGTCCGCCGTAAATATCGTTGATGCCCTTTCTCTCCGGGAAGGATATACCTCTGAGAAGATCCGAGGTCTGCATGCGGGTAGGGACAGAGATGTCCGCGGCTCCTGAAGGACCGCGACACTTGATCCAGGTGCAACAAAAAGCTCCCGTGCGCGCCGGGACAAAGTCTGAGCTGGAGGCAGTTCCGACAGAAAAAGGCTAACGCTTTTCCCCGAAACCTCGTCTCCTTTTGAATTGCCTAATTACAAACCCCACAGTTCGTTTTTCCTGAGAGGGTAAGAAATGCGGCCAGGTTTTTAGAAGAAACGAACATTTTTGGCCTACACTGGAACATTTGTAGCCATATTAATATTTTAACGCATGGAGAAAACTCTAGCGTTCCGACCTGGAGACTTCCATTTCGTTGTGAGAAATAAATTAATCGCTAATGCCAGTACTAGTACCACTACTAATGCTACAGGCAGCCGCAGGGAGCAAGCACAGCTGCCCGTCCCCTCCTGCCTTGCCCGGGTTTGCAGCTGCGCTCGGCGGCTCCCCAGAATGGGGGCAGCACCGCGCCTGTCGCCCCGCTTTCCAAAGGGCCAGCGACGTTATTAATGCACGGGATAATAATAAGCCATTTGCGACGTGACATAGCAAAGACGCAATCGAGCGTGGCGTTCTCTATCGGTTGCTGTTTTCTCATAAAGCAAAACAAAATTCCTGGCTCCCCGGCTTAAAAACCTTCTGCGGGGACGCTCAGCGCTGCCTACGCGCCGCTGCGGGGTCGAGCCCTGCCCGCTTCCCCCCTGCGTGTGCGCGTTTGGGATCGAAATCTTCTCTTCACCCAGCCAGGTGCCCTCTCCAGAGCCCCCTCTGCCCCTTCTTCTGTGCCAGGGGAGCCTTGGCCGCCCGCCGCGGCTGCAGCCCCACGGGAGCGGAGCGGGGCCAGGTCCCGCCGAGGAGCCGCCGGCCCCGCACAGCGGGGGGGGGGGGGGGGGGGGGTGCGTTTCGCAGCGGCCCCACTCGAATTCGTTTGCAAGATATTTTTGGACTGCAGTCTCAATATAATAACCGAGAAGCTAAAACCCACCCGGCGCATTTCCAGCGTCGCAAGGTTTAATGAACAAGAGCGCTTTAAATACACACATTTCGGAGAAGAAAGGCTGTTTTAAGGAAAGATCTGTGGGCTTTGGTGCTGCCCTGCCCTACACGGCAACTTTTGCCCGGTTGCGGGGGGAGACGCCGCATTTTTTGCGAGGCCGCTGGGGGGGATCCCGCCGTTGTCACCCCTCGGGGTGCCCCCACCTCTTCCCACCACACCTGGCCGGGAGCGGCAGGGAAGGCTCAGCACGGAGAGTTTTTTTCTGCCTGGGCTTTAAATCAACGGAGGCAGAAATCAGCTTTTGAGCGTGTCTGCTTCGATGTGCGCTTACTGCCGAAACGCAGCAATAATAACACAGTGACGAGCCGGGGCCGGAGGCCGTTTGGGCTTTCTCCACGGCGCTGTGATTTTGCAGCCTCCAAGAGCCTTTTCCAGGGGCCGCGAGCACTGCTGTCCGATCCCCTGGGACCACCAAAATGAACCCCTATGGGCCCCCTTCCAGCCCCGGGGCCACCCATTGCAAGCAGCCGCAGCTGCCCCCCACCTCTCCCCCCTCCCCCTGCACACACACATCCCGATCCCCTCAGCTGGATTGGGTGCAGCAGGACCAGAGGCTGGGCAGCAAGACGAAAGGGACTCCCGCAGCATCCCGGGTGGCAGCTGCCAGGCTGGAAAGCCGGATCCGGCCTTTGGCAGGAGCCGCATCGTTTTAACTGCAGTCCACGCACTGTCCTGGTTTAATTTCAAGTGAGGGAATTGGAGGGAGGAAGGAGAGGGATTTTTGCTGCGTACAGCAGCGTGCTGAGCACCCAGACCTGGGCTCAGGCTCCCTCGGGAGAGCCCAGCGCAGTGTGCAACGGCCTCGACTCCCACCGCAGCCCTGACGGCAGGGCCCCCTGTCCCTGGGGACTGCTGCTCACCGCCCGTCCTCGCCGCTGCCCCGGGACCGATGGCTGCTGCGCCCACCCAGCCTGGCTGGCTTGCCGTGGCATTTCTCCTCTTGTCCAAGGATGAGACCTGCAGTGTCCCCGTTCGCGACACTTTGCCTCAGAGCGTTTTAGGTCATTGCAGGGACCTACGTGATGGAAAGGAAGGTGATGCCGAGGCCTCCAAGGGAAGGTTTGCAGGAAAGACCCCTGAGTATAGCTGCTGCGAAGGTCACGAGGAAGCCCTGCTGGGGATGCTGGAGCTCGCAAAGCCCGGCAGTCCCGCAGCAGGGCTTCTCCGCGTGGCAGAGGCCAGTGCTTACCCCAGGGCAGGCAAACCACGGGTGCCCTCGACGGGAGGCCGAGTCAGGAGCTGCCTGTAGTGCAGTGGGAGGTTTACAGCATCTCTTCGGTACCCAGGTGCAAGACCAGTTCGTAGCCGAGCCGAGCGGCCCTTGAGCTGACAAACGTGCCGCTGGTCACCGGGCAGAGGCAGGGTGAAGTCGAGGAGCGGCTTCGACACACGTTCGTCGATCGGTGCCCGTAACTCTTTGCTCAGAGATTTAGCAAAATCAATCCAGCTGCTTTCGTTCGTTGATATAAACCGCATACGTATATTTAATGTTATCCTTGTACTATCAGCATCCCGAGTGCTGTGAACAACCTCAGCCTCTGCATATCACGCCAGAATCCACATAAATATCTCTTCACCTCGGTGCAAACTGCCTCCACCTATATGTAATAGGAGCAACAGAAGAAATGTCGTATAGAAAAGAACAGGGAACAACATCCCGTTGTTCTTTACATTTTCGTAGCGCACGAAGGGTTTGTTTATTCTTTGTACGCACACAATGTAGGATGAAGGCGGGTGCTTCCATGGGGTTTAAATGAGGTGCCCTTTTTACCATCTTGTTTTTAACCCATAAACTCCACAAGTAAATTTTGACTATCAAAAGAAAGGAAAACAAACACTTTTCTATTATAAATCCTCCTCCTGGTAAATACAGCTGCAAGTCCAAATAATTGTCTGGTTCTGAATGGGAATTTCATTTAGAAGAATCAGATCATCATAGATTACAACATTCCAGAATTATTAGAATATTATTATTGTAAATTAACAACTATCTAATATTTGGAGAGCTGCAGCATGACAGAAGTTACAAAACAGTATCGGGATCAACTTTCTATATTAACTTGCCTACAACTTTCTCAAAAATATGTGGAAGGTTTCTACAACAATATAAATGTTTTAAAACGTCTGAACCTATTACCTTCCTTCGGTATTTCTGTTCGTACACACAGAAAAAAATACACTTTCTCATTTACAAACAAATCTGAGCATGCTATTCAGAGAAAAGGTACAAAAGAGGTAGGATTACACTGGAAATGCGGTGCGGATTTAGACAATAAAGATGAACATTAGCTTGGCTTTCAGAGACGTATTTATTAACAGCCAGCTAAAATTCTGATGCTTATATTGCCCGGACTGTACAGACTCGAATTAAGGTTGTTCCCCTTTAGGTATATACATACGGCTGTATACTGTATGCATATGCATACGAGTGCTTGCTTGCTGGACCACAGGAAAGGTTTGGGACAGGTGAGATCCCCAGATCAGCGGGGAAAGGAAATTACGGCTCGGATGGGCGCTGGCGAATACGCGCGGAAGGGCCAGTTGCGGGTGGGGAGGCTGGAGGCGAGCATTCCCGTGTCCCCAGGTGACACCAAGGGACCCCGCGGGCTCTCCTGCCCGACAGCACCGCTGCCGAGCCCCGCAGGCGGCACCCAGCAGATGTCAGCCCAAGGCGACCGGGTGGAAAATGAGGAAAGCGGGCGGGTGAGAAGGTCCCCGGCCGCGGCACAAGCCCGCAGCCTTTCTGCCCTGCTTTCGGCAGCGGCTGCCGGGCCGAGGGGAGCCGGAGGGAGTCCGGGGGGCAGGAGGAGGGGGTAGCGGGGAGAGCCCCCGGGGCCGAGAAATGCCGCCGCCTGCCCTGCCGTGCTCTGTACGCGTATATATATGTATATATTTATTTTCAGCGCTGTAGTGTTTTACACGAAACGGGACGTTTTCTGGGAGTGGGAGGCGGTTCCTTTCCCGGAATAATCAGAGCAACATTTGCCTCCGGCTTCTGCGCTGGTGCTCCCCGACTGCGTGCTTAAAAACAACGCGTTTGTTCTTGCTCGTTTATTTTTCTCTCGGTGTATTTTGGGACTCCCGAAATAAGCCGCTAGTAATACCTCTAAAGCCCTTTTGGCGTCAGAAGCAAAAGCAACAAATGCAGCCGCTTCTGCCTCTCTTTTACCCATCTCGCCCCCCATCTTTGAGCTGGATGGGAAAAAGGCGGCGAGGAGAGGCACAGCGGCGGCTTGGACAGAGACAAAGGGAAACATTTGTTCTGGAGAGCAACCCCTTTCCCCGCAGAGACCCGAAATCCCGGCTGGAGGGGCGGTGGGTGCCGGGCCCCGGCCGCGGGGCTGCCTCCCTGCCTCCCTCCCCGTCGGGGCGGGGCAGCTCCCGCTCTGCCGGTTTGCCGAGGCAGGAGGTGCCCGGGGGGGAACGGTGCCGTTCCTACAATATTCCTACACTTTGCACGGCAGGGAAAAGGGGTCCGCATCGCACGAGCCCCGTGAAACAGCCGGCGTGAGAATGAGCTCTCTGCCCACGACTTTCCCTCTGCGGGGCTGCTTGAATTTGCCGGGAGGGGAGGCAGGAGAGCTGGGGCTTCTCGGCGTCTTTGTTCCTTAGGGAAGAGGAGATTTATCTGTTCCTGAGCTTATTCTCTTGCCAGGTTGATCTTAAGAGCGATTAAGCGATTTGGAGCAATACTCGCCTCATCCTGCTCGCCGGAGATCTCCCTGGGAGCGAAATGCCCCAGCTGTGGGGCTGATATTGGGAAGTCCCGAGGGCCTCAGGGTGGGATCCTGGTGTCGTGGGAGACCCTGGCCATCCCGGAGGGCAGATCTGCCCCCCAGCTGTGGTAGGTATTTGCTCTCTGGCCCTGGGAAAGCACCTCCAGGGGTGAAGGAAACAGGCAGGTAATGAAAGGTGCCTGTCCCGGCATTGAATTACAGCCAAACTGCAAACCTCAAATCCTCTATTTTCACAAAGTGATTTAAAAATAATAGTAAGAGGTCTCCCCCTGCTTTGCAAGGCACAACTGGGCCAAAGAGACTGCTCTCCTTCCTGGGAGACTGCTCTCCTGGGGAGCAGAAGGGTGCACAGGGCAGTGTGTGTGCGTGTGTAGGGGTGTATGGGACAGGGGTAGGGGGCTCAGACTGCCCTGGTGCATATCTGTGAGTACGTGTGTTTAGTGTGCACTGCTCTGTGCATGTGGTCGCATGCTGTGTGCTTCTGCACCACTGAAGCTGCTGTGCCGGCACCTTTGACCCCTCCAACAAGGCTTTAGCAGGGACTGCGGCATGGCTTGGTCCTCATTGCTCCTGCAGACACAGCTGTCGGGCTTCCCCTTCTGCCTGCTAGCCATTCTCTTAAAGCGTGGCTTCTCTTATACAACAGCGAAGCAGCTCGGCAGCCTCCCCGAAGTTGCTCTAAGTGTGGTGGCCCAGATGTGTGGTTAGAATAACCCTTGCTTTCTGGGCGGTTGGGGTGGAGGAAGGTCTCTGAGCTTAACTGTGCTGGGAATTTTCCACTTTCGTTTCAGTCACAGAGACTGGTTGTTTCCAATGTGGAAAGCGCTCCAGGCCTCTCTGTGATTAAACTCATCTGCAGCGTTTGGGATGGGACATTGCAGACTCAGAGACTAGGGCATGGTTCACATTCTGTTAGGCCCTGACAGGGCTGCAGGCGCTGTAATTCAGAGAGGATTCATATACCAAGGGTTTATCTCTCTCTCTCTCTTCCCACATCTCTGCTCGCAGTGTGAAGGCAATCCTGGGCTCAGTGCAGTGTTTATGTCTAACACTCCCCCATATATCAGAGTCAATCATGTAGTTTTAAAAATTATTAGTAAACCGCAAAAAACGACAGATTCAGGCATTGTCACTAATCCAGCCCATGGTGGCATCTGCCTGAAAGAAAGTGCATCCCGTATTAATGGTGGTGATGATGATTGCCCTATTTGCTGTAAAGCAAGACCACAGGATACAAGATTAATATGCTTCAAAAGTAACAGCATATCTCTCACTGAGAGCTGGCTTCTCTTTTTCTACCGTCCCCTCTGCCAGTCCCAGGATTACAGTTTTAACTTTATGCTTCAACACTAAGGAAGACCCATAGCCCTTCCGAAGATCTGCTTAGCTGACTGCTCTCAAAGCAGCTAAGAAATCTCATCTGATTTCTTGCCCTCTTTTTTCAGGTCATTATGTTTGTCTGCCTTTGAGGACACACCTGAAAATCTTCCCAATAATCTATGAAGAAACAGTCTCTTCTAGGTGATCATAGTGCATGGAAGGTGGACGTCCTCTCAGAAAACTGGTGTGTTAAGGTCACTGAAGTCATGTGCTGGGGAAGGCTTCCACCGGCTGAAAGTTGTCACTGTTGAATGAAATGGATGCAGAGAGTGAGAAATCCTTTGTCCACAAAGAACAAACAATCATCATCCCTGGAATGAAGGGATAAACTGTATACACAGCGGGGAGTGACATAAAGGCTGAGAAATGCCTCTCTCCTCCTTGCTGCACCGAAACCCTCCTGCTGCTGCCATGCCATCGTTGTGGCCAGCAGTGGGCAGAGCCCCACTGTCCCCAGCTTGCTACAGGCTGCCAGTGGGTGTGGAGGCTGCCTGGCACTGGCACGCCTGGCATTTCCCACACGGTGCCCAACACGTGCACAGTCAAGCCCAGATTTCCAGGTGTTTTTATTCTGGGCTTAATTCCATCACCATGCACCAAAGTAAGTAGTGTCTTATTTGGCAGTAAGTCTTGTTCAGTCTTAGTCACGAAGGTGGAATTGGTCCTACAGCAGGAATGATAATAGCTCTTCACCTAAGTCCTTTCCAACACTCCCTGTATGGTCTCCTCATCACAAAAGCAAACAGAAGCTCCCAGAAAAGCAGCAGCAAGTTCAAAGGGATCCATCTCCTCACCACCTTGATAAAGAGCATGGCACTTTGCCAGGCAGTGCTTGCTCCAGGACCACAGCTTGAGCTGTAGCGTACCATTTCTAGATACTGAAGGACTAGGAAGACACTGACTGCTATGCAACTACATGCTTCTTTAAATACACTTATTTAACAGTGGTTAAAAAATTAGTGGTTAAAAAATTTGGTGGTTAACAGTACTGACTGTGTATGCCATTTCTAGCCTGAATCTACTACCTGGCTTCAGCTTTCAGACACCAAAAATTAAAATGTCTTTGCCTTCTGTATGTGACAGCAGGAGCGGCTTACAGGTGTTGGCTCGGTCTCCCTCCCTCCACCCTGTAAGAGGCTATAAAAGCTCTATGGGGACACTGGGGAAGAGGCCTTGTGCCCATTACAAGCTGCAGCTGCTGTTTCCTGGGCGGTGGAGCCAGGACATGTGTAACAGCCAAATAGCTAGGCATAGCTCAGGAGCAGCTCACTGTGTGCTATTATTCATCTCAAGTATTTTTGAAACAGTTTTTTTGTTGTTGTTGTTGTTGTTTTTTAACTGCCTGTCATTTTGGACACATCCAGGTCCATATTACAAGGTGCTGAGTAACAGCTTATGAGCCACATCAAGCAATGGCTCCGGGGTTTGTTTACCAACATCCACTAGAGACCCCAGCTTTTCTGTAGAAACAGAAACTGAGCCCAGGCTTATCCAGGTATCAAGCTGTCACATTCCTTGGGGCCTGCAGAGCAAACTGGCCTTTGTGAAGAATGTTTACCATGACTGTAAGGCAGCTGTGTTTAGAGAATCATTTCAGGAAAGTCTAGAAATAGCCAGTTAGATTTCCATAATAGATTCCTATCTAATTGTAAGGGAAGAATAACTGCTCATCAGTCGCAGCTTTGCATCCGTCACAGGTAATGCAATGGGATCGCAGTGGCAAGACCCTAACTTAAGAGTCAAACAAGCATGTGGGGGAGTTTTCAAGGTCCAAATCTCACCCACCACTCAAATGTAACTCAGATTTTAATTTATTCATTATTTCAGGATCTGTTCCTAAAAGATTAATAAAAGAGCCAACTTGTATGATCCTGATCTCTGCACCAGTAGTGATTTTTCCTGCTCAGCAGGACTGTCACAGCTTTTTACTCCTGCTGTATGAGGGCTGTGATTACAGTCCATTTTTCTGCAGCCATTGGCAGCCTCCAGTTTAGTAATTGTGGAAAGATATGCTGTCAGATTTAGGATACAGAAGAGAACTGGCCACAGACTGAATTAATTAATATCCTTGATTTCTTTAAACAGCCTGAAAGAAGACGTGCAGAGAAGCAAGGGAAAAATTCTTTTACTTTGCCTCCTCATTGCTTCAGTTCCATAACTTCATGTCTGGTGATCTAGACGGAGGCTTATTCTTGCTTCAGGACAAAAGTAAGTTTTTACTGTAAGCAATCTCTACTGTGCAAGGAATCCTGACCAATTCTTATTTATTTATTTATTTACATATGTATATATATTTCTGAACTGCACCAGCTCTCAATCCTGAACAACTCCTTTTCCATGTTGTGTGGAAGAGTTAACAGAGGCAGCTAAATACAGAACATGGAAAAGGCCTGAATTTGTAAAAGATGTGCAAGTTACTTTGTACACCCATGTTGCACTAGCTCTGCCGCAGACTGCCTTTAACTCACTCACTTAAATTCTATTTTAGCCTGGGCTGGACAGGCCCTTCAGTTGGCAAACAAATAGATTAGCTGTATTTTTGTTTTGCTTTGGGGATTTATTTATTTTGCTAGAAATAAATTCTGTTTGTCAATGGCTCCTACAGATATCAGGGGAATATTTTAAAGTTTATTTTAATCACCTTCTTTGAAATGTGAAACTTTTCTCAATCTCCTGTAACGAACCCAAACTTTCAGAATTTCCCACCAGAAAGCTGTAGCAAGTTATGAATTCTTCACAATTTTATCAAACTCTTTGCTTGGTCATTTCCACATTTAATTTGACTAGCTATGAGGATTATTGTCTCCCTGTGGCTTTATTTTTAGTTTTGCTGCCAGCACTTATTTTTGACTAAATTATCATTAGAACAAAATTGGTTAAGCTAGCTACACAAAATCATATTTGATAACTGAATGAAATATCAATGAAATATAATGATAAACAGATGAAATAGCTTAGACAAAATATTTATTTTCTCAGTACAACTGCCAAGTGCACTATTTTAGGAGTCATAGGGACAAGTACTGCCTTATGGTTTACCTGCTCTGCTTTCCAGAGAGAGTAGAAGCTACCAGAAGGTACGAAAGTAGCTTTATACTCTATAGCAGATGACAATTGTCTTGTTTAACTCAAACTCTATCAGCTTATGCTTTCACTCTGGAGTTCCTTGAGTCAGTTCTTTGATTTATAATGGCCTGAATGGTGACTGACAAACATATACTTGTAAAGGAGACACAGAAGCCAGCAGCAGCCAAGCAGACACATCTGAAAGCAGAAGTTTGTTTATGAAGCAAAAGTACAAATTTTTATTTATTTATTTTATTTATTTTTTTAGGCAACTACAGGTCAAGACATGACGGAAGTACTGTAAGGGAAGAAAATTAGTCATCAACTGTTTGTGCAGGGTTTCACTAGGAGGAGCCATACCGTATGTAATGCTCAGAGCTGTTTGCAATTACTGTACACCAGATCTAGTTCCAGGGCAGCTTTTTTGCTATTTATCTTTTTAATGAAGACTTTTCAAATAGATCAGAAGGCAAATTTAACTCAAGTTACTGTGATCCTTTGATTTCTCAGTACGTTATTTATAATTATAGACTTCATTCTGCCACCAAGAGGTCAGTAGCTATAATTACCACATCCACACACACTTTATGTAGGGCTGTAGTATTTTGTTAAAATAAATAAATAAATAAAATAAAATAAAACTATATCTTCCTGTAAGTTTTGTACAACAATAATCACAACAGATATGATTCTGCCTTGCACTTAAACTGCAGGAGAAGTAGTAGGCAATAAAGACGTTGAGGAATCAGGAGTAGGAGCAGGACATTATTTGATTTCTGCAGTTGTTCATCCCTAGGGAGAGCACAACCGTTAAAGGACTGAGAATGGCACAGAGCCACCCCAGTCCAGGTTGGAAAACACAGGAGAAGAAAAGGAGTGAGTAATGAGTCAGACTCCCTTTGGGAGCTGCCCAGGGTTCCTGTCATTGCCGTGTTCCTTCAGGAAGCTCAGAGGTCCCTGTGGGCTTGTGGAGAAGATGGTTATGGATCAGCCTCCAGTTCTGGACTGATGCATGCCCCAGAGGTGAGTAAAGCTGCATGCCTACTTCTGGGGTGCAGGAGTAAAGGTCCATAACCTCACCTTCCCACTCAGTCAGGGCTGGGTTGAATCTTCCATGGAATTTAAATTAAATTCCTAAGGCAAGCTCTTTATTGAATTTATAGCAAAGTCTGACCCATGCTGTGTTTATGTGAGGATGTCCTTTGTTTTGTTGGGTTATTGCTTAATTACTAAATAGAGAAATATTAAGTACAAATTTCATGACATGCAATATTTCAAAATTATATGTACTGAAAAGTCTTATTTACATCTACCACACTGACATTTAACTCACTTTCCATTATTCCTCAGGCTATTAATGTAAGTAATTACAGGAGGCAACATGTCTAATATTGACTGTATTGTGGAATAAAGCGATGCTGAGCTGCTAGAGTGTGTTTTATATTAAGTACAAAAAGCTTCTGATACATTTAATGTAACTATAAATCTTAAGTCAAATGCTTATATGTCTCTTTTATGACCTGAATAAACTCAGAGGTAGAAGCAGGGCAGCTGAATAGCCGCTCGCTGCCAAACCGCATATTCAGCTGAATATGCACTTACAATATCCTTTTCATATTGAATAGAAGCAGAAAGACAGAAAAGGGGCTGAATATTTTCTCTAAATGAAGTAATTTCTTTCCAGAACACTGAGTTTAATGGCAAAAAAATCCCTGAATAAACATGAACTTTAAAATCAAAAATATATAAACAAAACATAAAACAATCAAAACAGTGTTATTTTTTCAGTGGAAATCTAGTCCATGCTCGTGATAAGAGGTACTCTACAGGTTTTGATGCTTTAACTGTTGAACACCCGGGAATCCTTTGGCTTGGGGAATGCATGCTGCTTTTCCCCAGTGGCTGAGCTGGCTCTGGTACAGAGGCGGTCACCTCTGGAAGCACAAGAATTTGTTTTTTACATGGGCTGGTGGGAGAAGGCTAGGCTGGAAAGGTGAAGGTCATTTGGAGGGTCAGCGCTGTGGACACCTCCAGACTGGACACAGCTGATGACATGATTTCAGTTGGCTTTGTTCTCGGAACCTGCTTGCATGTGGCAAAGTTAAACCTCCAAGCTGAGCCCAAGCACAAAGCTGGAATGGGAAAAGCATGTGCTGAGACCAAAGTAAGGACGGGGTAAGGCCCCTCCAGGGGCACTCTTGATCCTGTCCCCCTGGATACCATGACATCTGTGTGTCCCTGAGGCACCAATAGGGATTTTCAGAGGTTTCAGTCCCAGGTACCTGTATGGTGTCCTTGAGGAAACTTGGTGAAACACTGGCTGTGGCACAAGAACTTGCAGAGGCAATATGGGGTAAACCAATTTGACCCAGAAAAAATAATTGCCAATTGCACTGAAAATCACAGAATTAAACCCAGAGATAGATCAACTGCTAGAAAGCACAAGCCCCTACTCCTTTCAGTTCCCACTGAAATTAGCTCATTTGAATGGGAAACTTCAGTACAATATGACCTTTTAATATTGAACATGTCAACATTTAAATTGATGATGCGATTTTTTTAGAGCTATTTACAAGGGGAGTATTTCCCTCTGAATTTGTAATAAATCATGTAAGACATCTTTTCATTCCATTCCCCTTTAAAAAGAAATATTTGGTAGTTTAAAATGTTTAATGTAGTGGAAAATCTAAAGGGAAAAATAAAGCATCAATAGGCTATTTCAGCAGCAGAAACCACCTGGGACCTGCTTAACCTCCTAAGCTCTTCTCCAAATTTATTTGGAAAGAGGCATATAAAGAGCTCATCACTTTCCTTCTCCATTTTCATGTGTAGAGCATATGAAATAGTTTAGCATCATGCTCACACTCCAACCTGATATTGACGGCAGGCTGAAGTAACTTGAGATCACTATTTCTTCCTCTTTATGACAGTTCTGGAACATTTGGTTGACTAATTACCTTGTTACTAGTCAGCATATTTTTTGATATTTGACTTTATTTATGAATGTATATGTCTATAAGGGTAAGAGCCACACACATAGGATACCATTTTAAAACAGAGGCTTATTATGCCACCATGTTTGCAGCCTTTTCCTGTGCTTATCTCTTATTATATGAGAACTACACAGGCGAGAGAAAGTTTTACTCATGTCCGGTACCTCACCTCATCCATCACTCAATACAGGCCAAACTGAAGGACTCACAAGAAGACCTGATCAATCTCTTCTTCAGTTCAGTGCAAACCTTCCCCTGACTTCAAGGGATAATGGACTAAACTTAAAAGCATGAATAGAAGTTATGGGACATCAGGCAGTGTGGGCTATCCCCCCTCTTCTCCTCAGTTTAAATCACATTTGCAGTTAATAAATCTGTAAGAAAATATTTGTCATCAGTTCAGCTCTACCCTTCCAAACATAACAGACGAATTCTGCCTACGCTGAGGGAATCAGTATGGCACTCCTATTGCAAGCAACACTCCCATTACTGTCAACAGTGACCAACCAAGTGAAAACTCCACATTTAAAATGAAAATGAATTATAAGGATGCATGTGTGACAGTGGAATGCTGTCTGTGTTTGTATCAGTGTCTCTGTGTGTATATATTTGTTTACTTATTTCTTGTCTTAAGATAAAGCTTTTAACATATACAAATTTTAAAACTTCATGTTTAAAGGTTGAGCCCTGTAGCAGCAGTGTGTGCCTTTTTGCCCCCCATTGCTACTATTTTTTCTTTTTTTTTTCCCCCAGGAGTATCTGGCTTGGCAGACTCTTGCAGTCGTATCTGTTCTGAACTCGTCAGAGGTAGCTCAAAAAGAAATCCATGAGGTGGCCCCAACTCTCTGTCCTCTCCTTCAAACCCCTGTTGAAAGACCATTAAAAAGCTACATGACACTGAAGCACAGCATCGGCATTAAGAACACTGCACGTATAAGCATTTATCCAGCCAGAGAAAAGTAACATTAACCTGACAGACTGCCTCCAGAAATAGAAAAATATACGTATGGGAAAGAAATGCTTCATTTTTGATGGTAAAAATGTAAGTGGACCCTCCTGAAGGGATGTAATTAAAAAATGTAGCAGGAGTAGGGAGGGGAAACATGGATGATGAAAGGCAGTTTTATCCCAATAGAAGGCTTCCTTCTACAGCATTTATGGGGAGGCTCTGTAGCTGCAGGGAGACTAAAGCAGAAAAGGGTAATGAGAGAGACATGAAGACTGGGTATTAAATGTGAGAAGAGAGCAGCTGGATGTGGAAATGAGGATAAGGCTTTGAACTGAGCACGTGGGCAAAAGACTGAAGATAATCAGCTGCATTCAGGAGGTGGAGAGCTAGGCTGGGGGACCTAAGGGGGACTGTGACAAGAAATGCAGACACGAGAGACCAATGCTTTCAGGTAAGAGGCTGGTAGAGAAAAGGGAAGATTGGTGACTGGAACTGGCTGGGAAAATAGAATGGCAGTTGTCTGAGAGAGAAAGCAGTGCTGGAGAATAAGGATACAGAGATGTAGAAGGAACAGAAATGGGACAGGTGTGGTTTGAGGTGTGTAAGACAGACTTGGTGTGGAAAAACATCTGTAAGAGACTGCAGCCGCTTCCCTAGCCATTCCAGATAACAAGGCCCCTGTGTCAGGGCACTGCTCCGATGTCATCCCACAGCAAAAGTGGCCTCTGGTCCACAGAGGAGTTGGCAACTTTGCATTGCTATAAATTGCCCCATCATCTCAGAGGGTATGATAAATGCATATGGAGAAGCTAAAAGCTAACCTCACTAGTGTGAGGCATAGAGGTGTTAATATGATGCCACATAATAGATTTTTTTTTTTCCACTTTGCTTCATTAAGAACCTAGGAAATTACCTACAAACACTCTGTTAAAAGAACTCTGTGAGCTGCCAAAACAAACACTCAGAAGTTGGAAAGTGCCAGAGCTGAAGCTGTGTAGCTTTTTCCCCATTTGCACATATTCATAGGCAACACATCTTTATTTGCAGGAAAAGGTACTCTTCTCCCACAGAAACTGTGTCAGTCTGTGCTCAGCCCTGGGTTCTGTCAAGATGATTCAGGATTGTGTAAGAGGTGCCATAGTCTACCCACACTATCTATCCATTTGCTGTAGGTTCAATAAGGCTTTTTGAATACATTTGATTAGGGCAAATCAGCGGGGTATATCTTGCTTAAAGCTGTTGAATACTAATCTGAAGAACTAGATACAACCCTGCCTGACTGTGCCACAAATCTCTTCTACTCCAATAATAAGTTCTTACACCAAGTTTTGCACACATGGTGACTAATTGCACGTTCCCTGTTACGTGGATACCTGGCTTAAGACTCCAGGGCCTGATCTGGAGAAGTGCTGAGCACTCGCAGCTGCAGCAGAACTCAATGGGATCTCTGCTCTGAATATCTAAAGAATTACATAATGGTAAGTACCCTGACAAATTAGAACCTGGAGTCTTAAATAAAGCACCCCAAATCACTGCACCTCTCAGCTCTTCTGTTACCCAGCTGTAAAATAGGGATGATAATCATAAGGGAGATCTGAAAATAAATACACATTTGTGAACTACTTAGAGACTACAGTCATTAAGACCATGGGAAGCTTTGCAAATTAAATTAAAAACTCTTTCTTCTGATCAAGATCTGTGGCAAATAGGCTTTTAGGACACATGTTAAACATATGGAGAAAGGAAAATACTGAACGGCTTTTCAATAAATAAATGCTGCCCATCCTCAGCGATGAAGAGGCAGTGATCCTGTGGGAAAGGCAAGAAGTGGTCATGTACTCAAGGATGGCATCGCAAACATGCACACAGAGGGAGTGTATTTAAACTCCATACTCCTAAAGCTGGCTATTCGAACTGCTGGACACTTAATGTCACAAATTGCTAATATGATTTTTGTGTACTGAGTGATGGGGATAATAGATGCTTAAGAATTTTCTTTTCTTTTGAGGGAGAGATTTTCTGATTGAAATCAAGCTAAATATTATATGTATGTGCTATTAGCTGACCCTAATCCGACTAAAAAAAAAAAAATGAAAAAAAAAAAAAGTATGTGTATATACTGTTACAAAAACCTAATAGGAACTGGGTGACTGCCATATATTACCTGGCACACTGAAACTGTAAAGTCTGCTTTCACCATCAGAGTGTGACTTATCATCTGGAAGTGATTTAGTTGTGTGGTTACCTTTGGATTGCAGCTCTTTTGGTTCTTTACTAGAAAGCAAATAATGATGGAGAATAAGACTTTAGCACTATCAAGTAAACAAATAATTGGGCTGGAGATTTCAAAACCAGAGGTGAGAAGTGATTTTGAAGCTATTCAAAACTCTGCAGGTTTTATCCTCCATGGTTGTTATTAAAAGTAGTTATAAAATCCAGATCTCTGCCCTCCCTCACTCCCTAGCCTTCTCTTTCCTTTACTATGTGGTATGCAGGGAACATTGCTTGAAATATACTGCTTCTCAGCTCTGCAAAGTCCATGTCCAGAAAGTCAGTTTGTTTTCTGAAGTAATTTTCAATGTATAGATCTATACTTTCCTCTAAGTGCACACATATGTGATTTCCATCAGCATCACAAGGATCTACTTGTACATGTATGTAATGAGGGGAAAACGTGTGCTACGCTGGATACTTCACAAGAGAATCTCCAAACGGGCTCACACTACCTCCTTCTGACTAAAAGAGCAATGAAAACACCTCTGATAAATTTGCTATGACTAGTTCATATAGCAGGTGGCCTTACAGTAGAAATGGGTCAGTTATACCTGATGTTGCTGGTATTTCTGAACCAATGACAGAACTTCCAAGAGCACATCAGTCAGAAGATATCATTCTGTGTGGGTTCCCACCTTTCATGCCTACTGCACCCCCAAATGCTTCTGCAGAGTTATCAGGCGCTATTCATTCAGCAATAAATAAATTCAGAGGAAAAGAAAAATTAAGAGATGGTGACAAGTGAGATGATATTTGCTCATAGTGGAGGTTTAGTTAAGTCGAAGTGGAGGAACAACAGAAGACGGTTTCAGATGGCAGGAGCTCCAGCGGGATAGTCAAAGAAAAAAATAAATCTTTTATTCAGGTTATACTTCAAGAGAAATTTCTTCCCTGGGAGGGTAGTGCAGCACTCTATGTCTTCACTCAGAGGGGCTGCAGATTCTCCATCTCCTGTAGAACAAGTGAGAGTGGAGTGCAATAGCATGTTGTATTAACAATTTATCCTTGATATCCTTTTCTTTACTAGCAATCAGACAATATGTGAATTAGTGCACAGGGCAACCATCCAGGCAGCAGAATCAGTATGTGTGGTACAGTATCCTAGTAAATCCCATGTAGTTACCAGAAGAAAACTGACAGCAATAATGAATTCATTAAAAGTGTCCCAAAGGCGCAAAGAAAATCAGTGGCCTGGCTTCCTGCTGCCTCCCTCTGGAGCTTATCCTTCTGTTTTCTGAACAACCGCTACCAGTCCATTGGGACCAGGCCTTTCACGGTGGCACAGCTCTGCAGCCCCATCCACATCCTGACCCTGTGAGCACAGCCCAGAGCCAGGGAGATGTTATGGCATGATAGGTCAAGTGTGAGAGACACCGGGGTGAAGGGAGTCCAGGGAATCTCACATTCAGAGCACAAGCCTTACACTATGCATCTGTGACTGACAGCACAAATAGGCTTTTGCTTCCTTATTTTTTTCAGTTTCACAGAAGCAGATTTAGATTATGTAAGAGATATAATAAGTCAGATTTAATAATAAGCCAGATTTAATAAGCCAGGTTAGGAGAGGTGGCTGCACCGACTGTTACCTCCCATCAGCTGAGCTGCAGTAGCTGAGTGTAAATTAGCACTCTCCAACTGCAAGGTAAGATGTGCTAGGTGTTAAGTCACTTTCATGGGTATGTGCAGGGCTTCAGCAGCAAACACAGGGCTGGAAATTCTTCCATCCTTCTTCCCAATGTTAGAGAGAGGAGATTGACAGGCACAAGGAGACACCTACTTCATTATTAATGACTGATGATAGGACATTTTATCTTGCCAATCTGCAGAAGAGTAAGCTGGTTAACATATCTCACCTCCTCTGTGGGTAAAATTGTCATAAATTTATTTTAGTTATGGAGCCAGAATTGGATCTATGACTAAGCAACTTGCCAGAACTATACAGCTGACAATATTGGATTAGTTATTAGAAAAAAATAAAATACCCAGGAGATACTTTTTGATGAAGACTAGATAGATACATACATACACAGATAGATACATATGCAGACATCCACACACAGAAAGTGACCAAAGAAGGCTCATGTTACAGATTCCCTTTATCACATTAATGTTTTAGGGCTAAGGCTGACGTTTATAATGTTTTCCCTCATTTGCCTCAGGCATGATAATTCCATATAGCAGTGTTTAAGGTTATGTCTAAAACACGTCTTCTTCCCTCCCCTGCTGCAAGCAGGCACTGGCTGATACTGTAGGAACACCTGTGTGTTACCAGCTTCTGCACATTTAGTGACCACTGAAACTTCCAGACATGTCCTTTCTGCACTTTTTTATTGGTTAAGTTCACAGAAAACCCCCTTAATTATTTCATAATGCCTTCATGAATCAAGCTTTTACAGTGCAATTCAAGTTGCAGTAAAATAAGTGTGCTTCATATGGTAACAATTACAGGCTAGATTTATAAAAGCATCACACACTGTTTGCATTGGCTTTTCTAACTGCTTTATTCATAAAACAGTGTTAATGCACCTAAAATAAATTCACCTTCCTTCTGAAACTCATTAAACTCTTGTGTCTCTGCACAGATAATTCTTTGGTTGCCATTTAGCCCAGAAACGTGTCAAGTAAAATAAGGATGATGTGTTCCTGCTCGCCCTCTCTCACTGCTCAGCCAGCCAGGCAGGTGTATGAGTTAGGCATGGCTGGAGCCAGGTCTACACTGTCTGTGTCTCACAAAGTTTCCAGTTACAGACATCAGGGATCATCCACATCAGACTCAGTCCTCCCAGAGAGCAAAAGGCTGAATTACCACAAGGATCTATCCAACTATAATAGGAAACCAAGAGTTTAGCTTTGAAATTCTAACACTATCTCATAATTTCTCATCCATGTTGCCAATTCAAGTCTGCTCCCTTCCAGTGGCTTCAATGAATGTCAGCTGTACTCGCACATCTGTAAGATGTTGTTTATACCTGCAAGTCTAGTGGGGTCAGAGAAACGTAGAAGTGGTGTAAGAGAAGAAGCCGGTGCATTGCCTTGCTCTAAGTTACAGCCTACACTACACGGAGGCCTGCAAAAATCTTCAGACAGCACCAGAAAATTATTTTTACACATCATATTTTATTTTCGTGGAAAATCAAATAAGATTTATTTTGTAAGAAACTTTAGTTTTCTTAATTAATGCAATCTGACCTTTAAAAAATCATTTTTAGCATTACACTAGTACGATAGATAATTTTATTTTCTGTTTTCTTGTTCCTCTTTCACAGCTTTTTTATATATACATGTATATATATGGACATACACACATACAAATTTGTTTAACGTTTTGTAGAACATGGTATCACAAAGAAGCAGTAAGATTGGAGTTTTTGCTGGAGACTGCATAAGCAGGATATCACTGCTTTTCAGCTTAGCTTTCCTCTGAAGATCCATAGAAATTGTAGTCTTTCCTACCAAATACCAAGTGAATTTCCTGATTGGAACATGTGATCAGCTTGGAAAAAGCGTGTTTTTGTGCAATCTGTTTCCTGCCCAAGTACAACTTTGCCTTTGGCTAAACTAGCACCACAAGTCATAATCAATTAAAGTTCTTGTTTTTCCTTTTGGAACCAAGCACTCAAGCTTTTCGTGTGAAAGTCTTAATGGCAGGTATATGTGTAAGTGTGAATGTTTTCCTATGTCATTCATATTAATGAAGCCCTGCAGGTGTATTTGGAACACATTTTTCTTTTCTTTTTCTTTCTGAAGATCTCCCCCCCCTGCCACCCCCACTCCCCAACATCTGCATATAAAATCACATTTTGTGGCCAATCTGGAATTCCATAACCCTGATCAGACCATGAACTTGTACCTACTTTAATGTCTGTTCTGGAAAAATACTGCAGGAAAGGACTCAAACAATTTATTCTGCATTAGAGAAGAAATACGCTACTAAATGGGGCATAGAAGTACTCCTTCAGATTGACCTAATCAAAAAGAATTTGTTTCATCTTCCTACACTTGAATAATAGATGTTGACAAAGCCTCTGAATTATTTGGCTTCAAGTCTAGCTGAAACTTCTCTTAATGAATATGAAATCCGCTCTACTCTGCGCTGGTGCGGCCTCACCTCGAGTACTGTGTGCAGTTCTGGGCACCACAGTATAAAAAGGACATGAAACTGTTGGAGAGTGTCCAGAGGAGGGCTACGAAGATGGTGAAAGGCCTGGAGGGGAAGACATACGAGGAATGGCTGAGGGCACTGGGCCTGTTCAGCCTGGAGAAGAGGAGGCTGAGGGGAGACCTCATCGCAGTCTACAACTTCCTCGTAAGGGGGTGTCGAGAGGCAGGAGACCTTTCCTCCATTAACACCAGCGACAGGACCCACGGGAACGGGGTTAAGCTGAGGCAGGGGAAGTTTAGGCTTGACATCAGGAGGGGGTTCTTCACAGAGAGAGTGGTTGCACACTGGAATGGGCTCCCCAGGGAAGTGGTCACTGCACCGAGCCTGTCTGAATTTAAGAAGAGATTGGACTGTGCACTTAGTCACGTGGTCTGAACTTTTGGGTAGACCTGTGCGGTGTCAAGAGTTGGACTTGATGATCCTTAAGGGTCCCTTCCAACTCAGGATATTCTATGATTCTATGATTCTATGATTCTATGAAATGTGGCTCAGTCTTGAGCAGCAAACTGAGAATTCCCTACAAATAGGTGGTAGAGCAGCAACTCCTGTAACCGAAGTTTCTAAGGTTTTCTGAAATAAAAGCAAAGAAATCTGATAAGTACATGATATTTCCCAGAATTAATATTCCCAGAGAGCTCTGTAAGCCTACTGAGATCAATGGAAAGGCTTTTCATCTTTTCTCTGGGATTTGTGTCAGTATTCAAATTTTCCCACAAGCAGTGTGGTTTGTAGGTTCAAAGCCTACAAACATCTCTTCCTGGACTGTTATGAAATCTTAGTCCAGGAATTTGGGAGGAGTAACACAAAAGTGCTAGTCTAGAGAAGTTCTTCAGAACATTGATAAAACAAGATTCACTGTGTTTTAAACCCCCAAATTAACAAGGAATTAAATTCCAATCAGAAGCAAAGTAGAAAAGTGAACCTCCCTCAGAAAAGCTGACATTAATGGTGATTTAACAGCATTTACAGGTTGTAACAATCATCTCACAGAGCTAGACTTTCTGCAAACAGTTTTCCTAAAGCCGCTGCAAAAATACTCTTTCTTTAGACCGCTCAGGTTGGAGCACCATACCAGTGTGCTCTTCTCTTCCTTCAGAGTTGCCTTTGTTGGGACATATCACAGGCTCCTGCTTCCTCTCTTGGTTCCATTTAAGGTTTAAGAG